GCTGCCTTCACCTACGGCTTCTCGCCGGTGCTGAAGACTCTGACAGAGTCCATCAGCACGGATACCATCTATGCCATGTCAGTCCTCATGCTCCTCGGTCACCTCATCTTCTTTGACTATGGTGTCAACGCTGCCATCGTCTCCAGCACGCTGTCCCTCAACATGGCCATCTTCGCCTCCGTGTGCCTGGCCTCCCGCCTGCCTCGCGCCCTCCACGCCTTCGTCATGGTCACCTTTGCCATGCAGATCTTCGCCCTCTGGCCGATGCTGCAGAAGAAGCTGAAGGCCCAGACGCCGCGGTGCTACGTGGGGGTGACGGTGCTCTTTGCGCTGGCGGCGCTGGCGGGGCTGGCCACCATCTCCAGCGTGGGGGCCGTGCTCTTTGCCTCCCTGCTGCTGGCCATCTCCTGCCTCTGCCCTTACTGCCTTATCCGTCTGCAGCTGCTCAAGGACAACATCCATGGACCATGGGATGAGGCTGAAATCAAGGAGGACCTCTCCAGGTTCCTCATGTAGGCCTGGCCCAGGGGAGAGGGGACATTTCTCTATGAACAGTGCAAAGGTCCTTGCTGGTGGACAGCCCTGGGGGGAGGACATGAGCCAAATAAAGCCCAATAAAGCCCAGCAACAAGGACCAGATTTATGTTATCCTCAGCATCTCTTTACAGACCCACCCTTCTTGGTTTTGGTGAAGGAAGGAGCTGAACCCCACAGAGTGGCCTGCCCGTGCAGCAGCTCAAGGGCACAGGCGAGTGGGGCAGTGTGTGCTCTGCCCAGAGCACAGGTACCTGACCTGTGTCTGAGTTTTGGGGGTATACAGGGGGTGTGTGCATCCTCTGAGCAGGAACACCCCACTGATACAAACATTTGGCTCAGGTGTTCCCCATGACATGCCCATGGACGTCCTCAGTCCCAGGGACCTCACAGTGTGTGCTGGGGACTGATCACACTTTCCTGGGTGGGCTGGGGGGGTATGGGGGCTGCGTGAGGGTGGTGGGTGGTGTTGGACCCGCAGCACCAGGACACCTGGGACAGGTGCAATGCAGAGCCCTGCTCACCTGCACCCTGCCAGTCACTGATGCCAGAGTAGCCTCACAACACTGCCAGACAAAACCTTACCCAAAATTCTTCAGGACAGGTGAGGAGGCAAGATGCCTTCATTGCCTGTCTCAGCCCTCCCAGAGGCAGATCTGGCCTCACCACAGGACCAGGCCCTGAGCCAGAGGAATGGAGCTCAACATAGACCTCCGTGGGCGCCCCACCGGCTGGGGAGATGCCAGGGGGCCCCCGAGCTCCTGACCGCCAGCCGTCTGTCCGGCGGCCGTCTGTCCAGCACCGCGCACACCACAACAGAGGGCGCTCCCGGCAAACAAGTCCCGCTGGGGAAAGCATTCCCGGCACCCCGGCCCTGCACACACCTGCCCCAGCCCCTCCTTGCAGGGATGATTTTGGCATTATCCAGCTTTTAATGAAACTTTTCTCATTTAGAAATGCAATGCTGCAAAAGTGCGACTTTCTGCTTAATTTACCCCATCCCTTTGAGCAGTGGTGTCTCACCCCTGCCAGCAGGCACTTGCTGTGCGCTTCTTGGGCTTTCTCGGAAATGAGCAACCCCCAGTGGAGTCCCCAACACCTCCGGTGCTTTGTTACAGCTCTTGCCAAGTGTTAAATGTTGCTGTTGTCGTCATGGTGATGACTACATCTCATTTTGGTTTTAATTAAAACCTGCCGCAGTTTATGAGCCCGTGATCCAGTCTCGCAGGGAGCAGAGAGTAGCCAGATGCTCACAGACAAGCTGACAATTTTTGGTTCTTTGGAAAGATGGCTTGTTTTTTTCACAAGGAGACTTCCCAGAAAGCTGTTCAGAGACTGGGATGTCCCATCCTGTGCTGGGCTAATGCCATTGTAATGCTGCCACCCCAAGCCAACTCAGAGAGTCCATCGGTAGGACAAGGTTTGAGCATAAATCAAAAGTAAATCAGACCTAGCCTGCCTGGCGCCTGTTGTTAGTCTCTGTCACAGCAGAGACTACAAGAAAGCTGAGTTTCTGCTGCACCCATTCCCCCAAGGAGAATTATTTCCCAAAAAATGCACTTCACAAATTCAGACTCTCAGAATCAGCTCTGGGTTTGGAAAAGTGCAAACATCAACTACACGGACATTCCAGGTGGAGACAGGCACCAACTGCCACCACCGCCTTGGCCACAGCTGGAATCCAGTGCATCATCTATGCAGATCCCTGGGCTATGGTTAATAGAGCAGCCCCACTCGCCCAGCTCCAGGCAGAATGCAGATGTATCCCCTCTAGCTTGCTGCAGGCAGTTTGATCCCTCCCCACAGCCCCAGGCCTCTCTGCTCCCCCCATTTCCTTCCCTTCACCTCCTCCTCAGCTTCAGTCCTTGCCCAGAGATCTCCTGGGGAAAGGCTTAACCCTCCCCTTAGCTTGCCTGCACAGATACCCTGCTCTCCCTAACCTGGAAGATGAAAATATAAAGCCTGGTCCACGGCCTGAATGCATAAAGGGACTGTTAAGGAGAGAAAAATGGAAGAGAGAGCCAGGGAGGGGAGACACAAAGGCCAGGCTGAGTTTCCCTGGGACTCCTCTGACCTTCTGCAGTACTGCTTAAGTTATTTAAGATGCTGAATAAATGAGTATGTCTTCATGTCTGAGGTCAGAATATCCTCTACAGAACAAAACTTTGCCATAACTCTGTGCCCAGCTCAGCAGTAAAGCTGGATGCCCTTTGAGCGTTTGCCACCTGAGCGTAACATTCTGCAGCTTCTCTCTGAAACACACACTGAGACCAAAGAAATAGGTGCTTCTCATTTTATATGCCACCAAACCATCATCAACCAACTCTAAGGAGTTAAATGTTATTTTGAGTTACAAGAAAGTGCAGCTTCTTTCTCTTAAGTTTCCAAGTCCACTGAGATCAAGTGCTTCAGTGGGACATTTTCTTTTGATTTGAAGCTGGCCAAATGCAAGTAATTGTAAACTGGCTGGGGATAAGCCTTGCTCCTGGGGGAGCAGCTGACACGTGCTGTCTGGAATCTCCATCTACAGCCTCTGCTGCAGGGAAAGGCAAGTGTCAGCCACCCACACTGTGCTGTCAGAGGCCCACATCCCTCCCCACATGGGAGACTGGATCTGGGAAACCTGGAAAGAGTCTTTGAAGGTAAGATCTTTATATCTCTTCAATTCCCATGGTAATCACTAAGCTTTTCTCAGCTTTGTGAAGTAAGAGACAATGGCAACAATGTACATTACAAAGAAGCCAAAATATTATTTTGGTCCTAAACCATCCATTGAAAAGCAGCCTAAGACACATAATGCCACCAGCTGATGCAGCACACTTAGACTTCTCCACCTCACCACAGAGTATATAGCACTGCAGGTGGTGTACAGCACAGAGGAGGTTAAACAGCTTCTTTGAAAAGTCATTCCATGAGCTGATGCTAAATATGCCAAGGTTTCCCAGCACACCAATACCTTTGTCTTTCTGCTTAGGAGATTTTAAGAATATCTACCAGAAAATCATGAAGTTCAAAGTCCTATGTCCAACAACATTTTTTATCAAATACATAAAATGCCCCAAGGAAGAAGTTAGTGCCTTACAGCCTAACGCTTGGAGGTTGGCTGGCAGCTAGGAGGACAGCAGCAGCTCCTAGCTGGGGTGCTGTAGGTAAGGCCATTCAACTAAAATGTTAGCCACCTTTTATTTGATGTTGGTTTACCTGTCAGTACCATGTTGTATCTCAGAGGGAATGCAGTGAGAGCTTCCCTCAGTGTGGAACAGATTTTTTTAACAACCTGGAAAGAAAGTTGTGAAATTCAGCCAGTTCCCATTCCATCTTACCTGAGAGGTGAAACATGGCCAGAACATCCTCAAGAGCTTGTTGGGTACAAAAGGCATCACTTCTGTAGTACTCCTGAAAATACACACTTCCTGAGCTCTGCTGAGGTGTTGGGGTTTTTTTTTTTGCCTCTAGTACCTGACAACAATGGATTCCACAAATTAAATATCCAGCCAGTCTGAGTTCCCCTCCTCATCCCCTGCTCTTGGGACAGTTGTGTTCATGGAACTGTTAAAAGCCTCCATTTCTGCCCTTTCCTAGGGTGCTGGGAAGCACCTCACCCATTGCTGTACTCTTTCCAGCTCCAGCAATTCCTTGTTTAGCACATGCAATTCAAAGGTCTGCCAGGGATGCTTACTTATCTCCCTCTCCTAAGAACTGCTGCACTTTGGGGTTTCTTCTCCCTTTTTGCTAATGCCACTGCTGTTTCATCACTGTACTCTACCAAAAGACAAAGTCTAAGTGAAAAGAAAGAAATATCTGTACAAGTCTACAGCTTTCTGGGTGTCTGACTTTCATCAGCACACAGGTGGCTCAGCAGCTTCCTGGATATAAGAGATGCTAGCAGGGACCTACATCAGCTGGAACAAGAGGAAATCCCCCAAGGGGGCCTACAGGAAAGCTGGGGAAGGGCTTTTCACTAGAGAAGGTAGTGATAGGACAAAGGTTAGTGGTTGTAAACTGAAAGAGGGTAGATTTAGGTTAGACATCCCAAAGAAATTCTTCACCATGAGAGTAGTAAAAATTCTTCACCATGAGGGTATTAAGGCACTGGAACAGGTTGCCTAGGGAGGTTGCAGAAGTCGCCTCCCTGGAGGTGTTTAAGGCCAGGTTGGTTGAGGCTTTGTGCAGCCTGGTCTAGTGGGAGGTGTCCCTGCCTATGCAGGAGGTTTAGATCTAGATGATCTTTAAGGTCCCTTCCAGTGCTAACCACTTCATGATTCTATTATTCCAACCCTAACCATTCTATGATTTTATGAAATTCAGCAAAACTGTGTCAGATCTGGCTTCAAACCCAGCAGAGACTGTGTGGTCAAACTCCTTCTACACACAATACTGACCTCTGCTCTCCTGCCTCCCTCCCCTGAGCAGCACCACTTCAGCTCCCTCTCAGCGTGAGCTTCCTACTACAAACATCTTGTTTGTGCTCCTGAAACAACAAGCTGGAGTCCTGATGCTGCTTGTGCCTCCAGTTCACTCCTGTGCAGTGCCTGCTGATTTATCTGCATGGTTTGTGAGAGTTCCCTTCTGGCTTCATATGAGGAGAAAAAAAAAAGTCAATAAAAACCATCAGTTTGTCCTTTTTTTTTTTTTTTTTTTAGACTTACTCTTTGTGTATTTCTCTGGCACCCAAAACAAACACATCTTCTAAATGTTAAATCCCAGATTTTATCTTTCCCACAGGGACAGGCACATTTGGAATCCCAGAGGTAGTTACTTACAGCTATTCAGGCTCAGATGCTCCAATGAGGTCGGCTCGCAAGGAATTCAGAGGTTTAGCTTGAAAAAAAAGGTCAGAGCAGCTGTGATTTATTTATAATTGTGCAGATTCATCAGTCTAGACTGCTGCAATCTTCTCCTTGGATTTTCCACTCAGCCAGGTCATGCTGCTGGTGCATTAGACACATTCTAGGACTCTTCAATTGTTAGAGAGGCTGACTATTCTTCCTGCTAATTCAAAGCCAAAGCCATTTATTCGGAGCAGTCCTGGTGGGTAATGAATTCAGAAGCAGTGGTGGAATCCCAGCAGAACATACCT